ACATTAAGATAAAGTTTAGAGAGAAGCGACTTTTTGGGTTGCTCCCCTCAAAATCGGAAAATAACGGACAAAACAATGAGAATAACACCAACAAAAGGAAACAGTTCACAGAAAAAGGGCAAAAAGCGACAACAACGATACAATAAGACAACATGCAATATAGTTCAGCACAGTTAACTAAAATGATACCTCAACCATAAACTCACTGACTTGGAGCAACTTGAACATGTAAATCCAACAATATATACAATTATAGATGTGTTTATGTTTAAAAATTCCACAAATCCAAATAGTTAGTTATATGTATTATCTGTTAATAAGATTTTATCCTTGGATTTAGTGTTCGAAAGGTAAATAATTATGAGAGTTTCCACAAACTCTTGGCATGAAATTTTACAGAAACGAGAGTTTTTATAAATAAGGGAAATGTAGTGCAGTAGTCGAAAAGCACGCGTTGAGATTTTAGTACGAAATAAGAAAGTTTTAAAACTTTAATGTAATACTATGGTGAGAACTGTCCACAAGCCTAAATTCTAGACAAAAATTTACGTCAGTGTTTACGTCCCGAATCGGCGTCATTAGAAAAAACAATAACACAGCCTAACCTTGAGAAACTCATCAGCCGAACACAGCAGACTCAACGTGTGGAAATAGGATTTGCAGATATAATATGGCTTAGCTTTCTAAGAAACGATCACAAGCAGTACAGAATAACCTTGAGCAAGAAAACAACCATTCAGAAGATGTTGCTTCTCCGCTAACAATAACGTTAATAATAATGTACATAAATATCTATAAATATCTGATGATTTTATCAATAAAGAATCTGTTGCCTGACCCTTCCGTCTTCTGTCGTTACAATATCATGTTTCTAGACGCATTAAATAAGACATGAGAATACAAATGAATTGAGCTAAATTGTCTATCTGAGCCGAACTTGATCATCGTTCTAGTTGCCAAGCGTTACTAGTTCGTCTGAATAATCTTCAAACCCCTAATACTAGGGAATAGAAAATAATGCTTATATTAAATTGTTTTTCTGTGCTTTGACATTTCAGTGTAGGGAATTGTCTCTTTCGCTTACGTAGAAGGCGTTATTTCAATTAAAAGTGGCAAGGATAGAGAAGTTATGACGAGTCAAAATCGGGTCGGAAAAGTAAACTAGGCAGTCGCTGATTGTTCTGAAATCAGTGTGGGGATCTCCAACCCCTAACATTAACACTAGTGTTAAGTCAGTATTCATATATGGTCTGGAAACATGCACGAGATATTTCCAGGTGTTCACCTGTTAATAGCATTACCGTCAACCTTGGTTAGATACCGATATTCAGATGACTGAAGAATATGAGCAGCAATGAGTCCTAAGTAGTCAAGGAGCTCTTGCTCAAAAAATATCGTTTGCGAATCTGGTGTTTGTATCACGAACAGGATTCCCGACCGAATTTCCGCGGAAATTCATCACCTACCACCTCTGAATATCAAATGTATGGATGGTAAATTTAAGCAACGTAAAATTCTGGTAGATGAAGTGGACACACGTTGAATATATAGCGTTCCTTGACATCATGCCTCAGACCTTCGATTAGGAACTGAATGAGAAAGGATGAATTGATCTTGAAAATAATGTCAATTCAATATTAGCTGTCCGATAGTTTGATTTTATGTTCAAGTCTCTTTTGTTAATATCCATTTAATTTCAGGATTTCACCACAAACTGAACTCGGTTAGAGGGTCATTGTAAAACCTAGGATTACTGGACAGTTTGAGACGTTTCATCAGTTAACACCCACTGAGTTTCAAGGGCGAAGTTAAACTTTCGACACCACTAACTACCAGTCAGAGAATTATCCAATGAGATTCACGAACGTAGTTCAGTGTTGTAGAGCGCTTGATTCATTTCTAATGCGTGACCTTACAAGGTTACGGGTGCAATTTGAGGAGGTTAGTGTTTTTCCAGTATTGCCTGGATTTAAATTACTCCGAAGGAGCGAACTTGTTCTTGTGTTGGTATCATGACTTTGAAAAGCTATAGCAGATCAACTGGTGGGTTTGTTCATCGTTGTGCTATATGTTTGAAGCATGCTAATATGAGAGAGGGTAAGCTGATAATTTTAATATTTCGTGGGAAATTTTTCCGCTAGGTCACATCTCTCCCTAACTCAGATTTTGTATATCTGCAATTACTGGGTGTTGAAACAGCCGGTGAGAGCAGCAGCTGCCGAGACTGAGAATAGTCTTGTCTCAACAGTTTAGTGGTACCAGCATTGCAGAGATATTGCTTCGTGTAAAATAGAGACAATCACTTGTCTGCTGTGTGGATCCCGTTACGAGGACTCATACGAATTCCACTGAAGGTTTTCGGGGCCGCTTGAAAAACAAGATAAGGGCTATAAATGGATCTGAAAAGGATCTCATTTTTAGCCGTTCAGATGAATACAAGTTCAGGATGTGCTGTGACTTCGCCATTGACAGTCACATGCTAAACTGGGGGATGTTTCTCTCACATATTAGAGAAAGATACTCCTTGTAACCGTTTTATCCTTCTTTATGCTTTTTTCTATAAATATGCGTTTCCATTCATTATATATGCCTATTTAATGTGATTGGTCCGTTCAAGGTCGTTTGCTGATTGGTTGCTGGTGGTGTCGAAAGTTTAACTTTGCCGTTTCAAGCCCAGGACATTCTGGTCACTAGTCGAGCTAACTAGTAGACTAATAAGACACCAGGGCATGACCTCATGGTCCCTGAATTCCAACTTCTCCCAATTTACCATATGGCACAACCCTTGATGAGTGTCATCGGCGAGTATTTGTCCGCACACCTAACCTGCTGTACCCCGCTGGTCACGACTTCCAAGTAGAATCTAGGCGGCTACCTACTTGAATAGGGTCAGTCATCGCCAGTGAGCACTAGAATAATAACCAAGTGCTGGTTTGCAAGGAATCAAAAGAAGTTAAAATTAATGGACCATAGAATCATATATCAGTGTCCTAATGGTCTAGGACATAGCTCGCCTTGTAACAAGAACGTCCTTGGTTTGAAACTCAGCGGGTGGTACTGATGAAGAGTTTTAAACTAAAACGGAACAGCTGTCTAGTACTCTCAGGTTTCCCAATGGTTCTCTTTTTGATCTCAGTTTATGATTAAATCTTGAATCCACTTAAATCCCTGCAAATCAACACTTGAATATTCAGTTAGTTGCCGTCAGTTAGGTTTTATTTTACTAATAATATGTCACAAGTATCTATGAATACTGAAGTCACCTCTCTATCTTAACTTCATCGACTTCGAAAAGGCCTTCGACAGCGTCGATCGAGAGGTCATTTGGAAACTACTTCGCTACTACGGGGTCCCATCGACAATTATACATCTCATCCAACAGTTATACGACAATGCTGCATGCCAAGTAATCCACAACGGGAAACTTACGGAAGCCTTCGAAGTGAGGACGGGAGTGAGGCAAGGCTGTCTACTATCACCAATGATCTTCTTGATTGCAATTGATTGGATAATGCGACAGACAACGGCGACCAATGAGGGAACAGGCATAAAATGGACTCACACAAATGACTTGGAGGATCTGTACTTCGCCGATGATATATGTCTGATTTCCCACAAACTGGAAGATATGCAAGTGAAAAGCAACAAGTTGGCGGAAGAAGCATCAAAGATAGGACTTCCTTCAGGTGAACATAGATAAAACAGAGTTAGGAGATGAAGATTCCTGGCCAACAGCAACAACACCAACAGACCACAATAAGCATAAATGGGAAGAACCTGAAAGAAACAACCTCCTTCACCTACCTGGAAAGCATCATCTCAACCACAGGCGGAACTGACGAGGACATCAAAGCTAGAATCGGAAAAGCAAGACAAGCTTTCATTACTCTCAAATCTGTGTGAAGGTCAACAGCACTCAGCATCAAAAATAAGGTCCAGATTTTCAACTCCAATGTGAAGTCAGTGCTACTATACGGATCAGAGACTTGGCGAGTTATAAAGAGCATCTCAAACAAACTTGAGACCTTCACTAACAGCTGCCTTTGCTCAATACTCAAGATCAGATAACCGGCCGGCCAGAAAACATCAGCAACAGGGATCTCTGGCAATGAGCAGACCGATCAGGAACCGATTGTGAAACAAATAAGCAGGAAGAAATGGAGATGGATTGGCTATACGCTGAGGAAACTGTCAAGTGACATCACTAGACAAGCCATCGCTCGAGTGAAACCCGAAAGGAAGGCGGCGAGTTGGTCGTCAGTGCAAGGGTGACTTGGAGGAGGTCATGTGAGTAGGAGATGAAAGCATGTGGACAGACCTGGAGCAGGGTGAAAAAGTTGTCAGAAAACCGAAGTCAATGGAGGTGCGCAGCTGAAGCCCTATGTTCCTCTAGGAACTAAAGGATACAATAATAATAATAATAATAATCTATGAATACAAACTAGTGGTCAGAAATGCTTTGCAGGACTTCTTTCCTATCACTGCACACAGATATCTATAGACATGAGGAATTTCGAGCAATTTCCTCTAAAAGTACCCTATTCAAAATGCTGCTAAGGGAACAGAAATACTAATATAGTTCAGATTTGTCAATCGATTAAAAGAAAGTCAGATGTCGGGAGGTCAAATGTCATTTGAAATTATCAGTGTCAATGTGAGTAGATTCAATGAACAGAGAGACAGTCTTTGTCGACGGTTGCAAATCAATTGTAGCACTTATTATTTCATTCACAAAGAATACGGGAAAATAACTCTACTTTGAAGTTAACACTGAAGATGATGTTTAGAAAGAGAATAGAACTTTAACAAACAATCAAAGGATCCACTACAGAGAAGGCAGTATCACTACAAAAGTATACATCCAAAATCTAAAAATCTTCCATATATATTATGTCACTTGAAACTACCCATTTTAAAGTGAATAAATAAATGGAAACTGGAGCAATATAGGCGACACCGATAGAAGTCACAATGACTTTAATAGAAATCATCTCACATACCTTGTTGTATAAACGTTTATAAGCCTCTGCAATAACCATACGTTGTATAAAATTTCTATGACCGAGTATTTCATTGATGATGTCTTCATCAGCATCTAAGGAGATGAAATGAATAAGCGAAAAAAAATTTATTTCCCGATACGAATTTAAAAGAAACAATAAAGGCTAATAAAGCAGGATGATTTAATGAATTCATCAAATTTTGGTAGAACTGGTCAGCTGCGGAATACTCTACATACACGGATATTTATATACGTTTGAAATTACATTGGGAGATGTATAAGACTGATAAGTAAACAAACCGCGTTGAAGTAGTTATGCAGAAAGACGACAGGTGCGAATGTTTTCCAGGTCATGTTCAAATAGATAAGGGGAGAGAGAGTATGGGAGATCGAAATTGAGATAAATTGCATTACGCTTCAACTACATCACTTAGATAACACAACAATTGGTCATTAGAGAATATAACAAGAATTGCAAACAGGGTAATATCAATAGTGATGGTTATAATAACAATAATAATAATAATAGAGTTGAATTGAGTTAAGATAATCCTACTGATAAAGGATAGTTTTAAATGAATCAAGAATAATAATAATAAGAGGTAGAATAATAAGTAAAACGTATATTACCATGGTAGATCCAGAGTCACAACCATCTCTTTTTGTACACAGAGACATGGTTTATAAACTCGAATTGCACAAACCTCTGCAATTGCAAGCATCTTCTTGCTTCTTTGTCTGCTGACAATAGTGAATAACACTCCATCATGCGAGTAGATAATCGCCTTTCCCTACGACCTATGTATTTGCCTCCACAAACACACTCAAATTGATATATGCAGTTTGAAGTGTCGAGGATTGGCGACTGGTCTTTCCCAGATTGTTGAAGCACTCGCTTGGTGGTGGTGTTAAGGATAACACGTTTTGCAGCATAATAAGTTCTCTTGATGGATTTGTCGAGTCTTCGTTTCACTACTTTCTGTACGTTATCTCCTTTGAGTGGCAAACTGATATAGACGGGTTTCTTCGGAACTGACTGGATTGTTTTGCAAGAGGGCTAATTTCTTTAGATAAAATATCCTTCAGAGATTTTATTTCATGCTCAATAGTACTGTCAGAAAAAATTATCCGTGCTCTAATGAACAGTGTACTGACTGAATTCATTTTAAATTGGATCGGAACAAAGCTTTTGAAATGCATGTAATGTTCTATCCATGAAGACTTTCTAAATATAGATCTTTCGATTGTGCCATCATTCATTTTGGTTAGAAAAACGTCCAGGAATTTAATAGTAATTGATAGCTGCGTCATCTTCGTCTGAGGCGTTTCAGCAGAACTCGATAACTACTTAAGTGCCAATCGAGATCAAGATCTTAAGGTTGAGAAGTGGCCAGGTTAACTACGAAGTCTATCAGACGGTGTCCAGTGGCATATGAATTCTAACTTCTACCATTTCACGATGAATGGTACCATAGCCAGTCAGTGTTATCAGCAAGTATCTGTTCTCACAACCTACTCTGTGAACTCTATTGTTTAAATCTCCTAATTATAACTCTAGGCCCTCCACCGTGCAGCAAGGCATTAGTCAGCAGTGGGTTATTTTTCAGGGGTCGGTTAATTCAAGTGTCTGATGACAAATTGACATCAGTTAGGCATGCATTCCACTAGCCACTGCAGGGAATCTCCAGCGTCAATGAATGCACCTTCAAAGAAGCTTGAAACAGACCACAATTCAAGTTCAGTTCACATAAACGGTTTTCCGAAACTACAAAGTTCCAGTGTGTGCAGAAACACTGGAACTCTTCGAGACCCATTTTAAAGGAAACCTGGATAATCATTTTACGAAGACTGAAGAGGCAAGACAAAGAGAAGCTGAATTCAGTCCACAGTGGAGTAAACAAGAAGGCGTGGAATGCGTGCTGGTAGAGTAGGAGAAGAGGCAATTTTACAAAACACTGTCAACTGAAGCAGAACAGGCTACAGACAACAGACATCTGAAAACACAATATTAAATAACAGTTAAATTACTCTTTGAATGCATAAAAGTGGTCTAATCTTCCTAATTGTCAGTTAGGGCTCCCACAAACATTTTAGGATACGCCCTCCTGTAAACAGGTTCTAGATGGTTCTAGATAGGTTTAAAAGATGTATAAATATCAATTTTATGTCGCGTCTCTATAATATATCTCGCAATAGAGGAGGTAGATCGTCGCCTGTTCTCATCACTAATAAATTCTGGAGACTCTGAAGTCATTTAGGAATATGCTTTGAGTCCTCTCGATGTACGTGTGTCAAAAAGTATATTCAAACTGGTAAATACAGGGGAAGTGGCATCACTTTTCATCTGTTCTAAGGGTTTGGATTGATATATAGGCGCCATACTCTATTTTGTTTGGAAACATATTATAGAGACGCGACATAAAATTGATATTTATACATCTTTTAAACCTATCTAGAACCATCTAGAACCTGTTTACAGGAGGGCGTATCCTAAAATGTTTGTGGAAGCCCTAACTGACAATTAGGAAGATTAGACCACTTTTATGCATTCAAAGAGTAATTTAACTGTTATTTAATATTGTGTTTTCAGGTGTCTATTGCCTGTAGCCTGTTCTGCTTCAGTTGACAGTGTATTGTAAAATTGCCTCTTATCCTACTCTACCAGCACGCATTCCACGCCTTCTTGTTTACTCCACTGTAGACTGAATTCAGCTTCTCTTTGTCTTGCCTCTTCAGTCTTCGTAAAATGATTATCCAGGTTTTCTTTAAAATGGGTCTCGAAGAGTTCCAGAGTTTAGAGTTTCTGCACACTGTGAAACTTTGTAGTTTCGGACATCAGTCTGTGTGAACTGAACTTCTTTGAAGGCACATTCCTTGATTCGGGAGACTGTTTGCAGTGGCTTGTGGGATGCACCCAAATCTACTCATGTTTTGTGTTCCATAGTCTGTTTCTCAACTATTTCTGATGTTTCATTTTTTCATAAAGTGAAACTCGCCTCTCTACGTAAATATCCTTGTGTTGGTTCACGTCGGCCTCGATCACCAAATCAATAAAGGTGGCAGAAGTCTGCAAATGATTCTGTATTCCACTAGGAACCTGTAGGTCTTATCATAAGAATAATAATATTAAATTGGCATTTGATCTATTTCAAGACTAATTTGATCGTTTTCTTATTGCTCTTGTCTAAGTGCATAAAGGGAACTATTTATATATGTTTAAGATAATCAATTCTGTAGTTAACTTATCATTCCAAGATATCATAAATTCTCTTGTACTTTACAAGAATGACGAAAAAAAGAAAATTACTTCAAGAATGCATTTAGTGTTGTACTTTAATAAACTTCTTTTACTTTATTGAATTGAATTTTTGATTTTCCTGTCGATTGATTGGACTGAAGTGCTCGGTCTCAGGTTGACATGTCGACTTCTTGTGCAGATGCTTCGACGATGTCCGGGCATTTAGTTAGTATACAACTGGTGGTTGGTGGCTAGCAGTGGAATCCAGGATGCGCATTTCGTCCTATTTGGGACTCGTCAGCTGGATGTACCTGCATTTCTCAGTGAGTGATGATGTTCCCACCGAGGCTCGAACCCAGTGCCCATAGTTTCAAACGCCAAAGCGTTATCCACTAGACCACTTGGGCCACGAGAGCCACCTCTTGTGCAACGGGTCATATTAATTAGTGAATTGAATTTTTTTTATTTTTCCGTCGATTGATTGGACCGAAGTGCTCGGTCTCAGGTTAACATATCGGCTTCTCGTGCAGATGCTTCGACGATGTCCGGGCATTTAGTTAGTATACATCAGTATATACATCCAGATGACGAGTCCCAAAAGGGGACGAAATGCGCATCCTGGATTCCACTGCTAGCCACCATCCACCAGTTGTATCTTTTACTTTATTGTTTGTCAGTCAGGCGATTAGTTGTATCACAAAAATGGATTAAAAACACAAAATCTTAATTTTATGATCACAGATGATGACAAATATGAATATGAGGTTGTATTGGAATTAATTATTAGAGAATGGAATAAAAAACAGTTAAAATAATTATCAGTACTTAAGTTGCTCTCAGTAATTGAGTTAAGTACTCATCGAAACAATTAGGCATTAGGTGAATAAATATTGTGAGATTACATCACGCTATGTTGGTTGACAGTTTGGTTGACAGCAATAAAATAAAATACCTGACAATTACTCAGTTAGAAGTTAATTGGTGGCTAATGACTAGCAGTAGAATCCCGGATAACACGCATTTCGTCCTATTTTGGACTCGTCAGCTGATGTTCGATGTACTTGCATTCCACAGTGAGTGATGATGTTCACACAGAGGCTCGAACCCAATGTCCATTGTTTCAAACGTCAAAGAGTTATCCACTAGACCATTTGGACTACAAGAGCTAGCCACTTCTTGTGCAACTAATCATAGTAATTATTTATTTCAATTTTCGATTTTCCCTTCAATTGACTGGACCGAAGTGCTCGACCTCATGTTGACTTGTCGGCTTCTTGTGCATAATGATATATAAACAGCCTTTTCTGAATTGTCTTTTAAGTATGATTGAAATTATACAATTGATAACTTAAAGGTTTCTGTTAGGTATCGGGTGTACATTCTATCTTATTCCTTTAGCTTCCCAGTGGAACATAGGGAGCTTCATGCTAGAAGTGGTTGGTGCTCATGGGATGGGGTTGCTAGTCTCATCGTCAAACCTTCCCTCTTTACCAGTCTTAATATTGGATTATAGAGGTAAAGGAGTGCGTTGGTCAGGAGTCGAACATTGAACCACCTACGTGATTGGTAAGAATTCTACGGCTTTACCACCTACACAGAGTCTGGTTCGGCCCATAATCGCTGTGCCTATAATGAATAGATGATATCCGACTGAAATGTACTTCACAGTACGTCTATTAGTTCCCCTACATATACGGAGAAACGTATGTGGCTAGGACCAGTAGAATGTCACATTGTCATAGAAGAGAGCACGTTCTTAGTGTTTAAGATTCATAACTGTCCCTTTCTGCTTACATGAGTCTAGTTTCAAGTCGTTCGATGGCAATCATCTTAGCAAAATATAAGCAGGCTGTAT